CAAAACTCTCTTTAATATTCATAATTTATTTAAACGAAATATAAACTATGATCGTGTAATGCTAAAAAGACGTTGAAAACAACGAGAACGGTTAAAAACAGCAACTTTGCACGTGCAGCACACTTTTTTATTGCACATTTCTTTGCCGTTGTGTCACCCTTTGTCCGGGTTGCCATGCAATATATATATATTTTAAGCTTCATTATGTTTTTATTTATTGATTAATCATTTCACAGGGCCCACATTGATAGCAATTATTTAACTGAAGTGGTTACCCTGTATAAATAATTTATTTATTATTATTATTTACCGCCGAAACGCGTGGGACGCGTGAAATGCAAAATTTTACCCCAGCTTACACGAAGGGGTGGGCCTATGTACGGACGATTTTGTCAGAACCAAAATTTCTTGGATGCATGATAACCAGATTTTCTCACCCATGGTGCTCCGCTATTAGATATTGTAATGCCATGAATGTCAGAGCAAGACCGTTTCATTTTTCATTTGTCGCTTTATTCTGCAGCTGTTTTGAGACGATCATCAATGTTATTGGTGAGCACAGCAAGTACTGGATTTCGCTTAAGATTATTGGTGAGTGAGGTTCGATTGAGCTAGAACAAGCTGCAGAAAGATGTCGTGTCACTAGGGCGGCACATAGAGTAAGACTATAATCCCCGACTGAGTTTGAACCATTGACAATCACAACATCGGTCACTGCTTCTCATGTACTGGGGAACCTTTGCTAATAGTTTTTTTCCTCATTAGCAAACGCTTCTTGTTTTCTTATCAACTTTCAGAACTTTGAGTTTTGAATGATTACAGGGACATGGGCCCAATAACCCTTCTCTGAAAATTGTGATGTTTTTAAAAAGCTCTAAATGTGGTTCAGAAACAATTTTGCCTCTATAAATTTTGGATCTTCTCATGCCCGCTCAGAAGCTCTTGGCTGGATACGGTATCAGTATTGTTAGATGTCATCTGACCTCGAAGTTACTAATAAGAGCGCTCACTATTCAGTATTGAGGAAAAAATTCCAGCCATATAACAGTCGTCACCGTGTCACGAGCGCCGCACAAACCAAATATCGGAGTCCAAATTAGTGAGATTTGTAGAGTAAGCGACCGCTGTGAAGGTTTGAAAAGCAGGTTGAAGTACCTGGTAACTTCGAACCTGAATGCCCTCTTGATGTCTAATTTATATTGTATCCTTTCTCAGCTCTGCTATATAAAAGTGAGCAAAACATCGAAGGTGGACCTACTCAGGCAAAAAAGGAAGTCATGTAAGTTAATGACTGTACCAATAAAGGAGTAAAACACAATTGCGGCTTTTTTCAAACGCGCTATGCGTCGCGGTTACGAGAGCTCGCAACACTCGACACCAGATCTTTCTTTGCTTGGCTTGCCTGCTTGCTTGTTTTTCGTCTCCTATCGAACTAAAGCTATCGCATTAGTCTACTCAACAACTGTAAGAGGTTTGTTTATAATTTGGAGTGTTATTGTACAGTTCTTATCGTCTTTTTTTTGTTTTTTTTTTTTTCATTTAGCTGCCCAAGGATACCGGAGGACTTCATAGGTGAGTTTTATTTCGGATTATGAGTTGTAGGCAGTTTTGTTGAAGGTGACGAACTCTTTGTACTAGTTCAGGCATATACAGAGGCCGGTAACTGATGGCAAAGTTAAAGAAGGTTTTATTTTTCTTTAGCTGAATCGTTGTTGTCTTAAAGCTCACGAATGAGGGAGCCTGAAACAGGGCAAAAACCAGCGAGACCCAGCAGTCAGTGGGGTCGTGAGAAAGGGCGCGACGAACGTTTTCAAGCCGTAGGCGGAAACCTCAGTTTCGTAGCTTCTTTTCTCCCGACCCAACTGACTGCTCCGCGAGGATGGCCAAAATCCTGAGGATTTTTCTTTTTCTCATTGTTTTAGCCACATGCTGAATATACGGTACGTCGCATCGACCGTATCAGTGAGAAGCCAGAAGGGAAACGTTTGTTCTCTGGATTTGGAATGAGGTCAAGTTTTTAACGAGAGGATATGATCGCAATACAGCGAAACACTCAAAGTGAATCAGTTTTGACAAAGTGCTCACCGGTTAACAATGAACAGAAAGATAGCCAGTCATACGACGCCACCACTGGTTTCCCTCCGCGAAACGACGTCTGAGAAACAACTCTAGAAATTCCATGATGATCTGCCCAGATCTGTGTAGTGTTTCTGATTGGTCGTGCCGCGAGAGGAATTTGGTGAAGCACTACCTTGGTCTAGTTAGTCACACGTCATCAGTGTGGAATTTCTGTACTCGTGTCTCAGACGTCATTTAGCGCGGAAACCAGTGATCGCGTCGCCAAATGTCGGCTGATTTCTCAGGCTAACAGAAAAGCATTCAGCTTTTCTTTTATTTTCAGAGAGATCACCAAAAGAAGATAAAAATGCAAATTAAACATTTTTTCATCATTTGTTTTTTACGTTATGGTCATGGAAAAAAGTAAAGAATAGACCGCACTTTTTATTGGGGGATGTTTTCAATGAGTTTATCGGTGTTATAAGCCATAGGTTTTTGGCTGATCAAAACGTTCGTACTGTCTCAGTTATTTTATAATTTGGAATATTTATTGAACAAGGGGGTTATTTAATTTGCTATTTAAAAAGTTTGCGTGCTGATTATTGAGTTGCCTGATTGTTTTCCGAAAACACTGGAATTTTTAAAAATCAATAAAAATGAGAAAATTCTCCCCTGTCTGCGTTCCTACTTTTCTTGGAAATTCCTTCAATTAGAATGTTGTTGTATGGCCCTAATAATTTCCTTTCAGGATTGTGTTTGTTATTTGTGGTGAAGGAAAAGAGGTTCTTGAATTCATTCCTTTAGGAAGAAATTATCTAATAATTAAAAATTTTTAAGTTTGAGTTCTTGGTACTCAGTTTGTAAATTATCCTTAGGCCCTGGTCAAAAGTCGAATTTCACGTGTGTTAGTATTACATTATGTTCACAAGTGCAGTATAAGCCATTAGCTGAAATGATTTCATGCTAAAAAGCTTACTGCTATTATGGGAAATAGCTCTGAAGGTCAATGAAGGGCCTTTTTTTCTCGCTTTTCACTGTGCATGATTCTTTTTTTTTTTCCCTCAAAAATTTCTCTTAAATTTTCTAATCAGAGTCCTTCCTAAACTGGCAATGGAACTATAGATGGCGGGAAAACCACCCCAAGATGGTGAAAAGCGCTTTTTTCACGATGGAAATAACTTGAAAACGCCAGTTTCCGACTCGTAAACTCGTGTTTCCGCAATAGTTACATCCGATTACGTTGACGGAAACATTAAATTGACTTGTTTCCGGAACGTTTTCGCGTGTTTCCGCAAGGATGCCACGCATTTACTCTTGCGGAAACACGTGTTCGCTTAGACGGAAATTTGACGGAAACGTAGAAAAAAGTGGTACGATTCCGCCGGAACCGCAGCGACGGAAACACGGGTAAACGTAATGTATCCGCTAACGGAAACATGTGATTACTGTCATGTTTCCGCAACGGTTTTACGTGCTTACGTTAAGTTTCCATTTACGGATTCTTGAAATTTCGTCCTGTGCAAGGTTCCAATCTTTCTGTTGGCTGGCGTAAAAACCTTCCTGGGATGCTTAACCCAATTGTCTGTCAGCAGGCTCTCGCGCTGGAGTTTCGTCTGACACGTCAAGTTCTAGACAGCGAGCGGTCATCCTTTTTTCCTCCGGGGCCAGGCGCGGGGAGCGAAAAAGTAAAATATGCAAATTAGTGTTTCTGTCGCCCTTCGCGCGAGCCCTCGAACTACTTTGACCCAGAAAAGAAAAAAAAAATGAGAGACTGCTCGTAGTCTACCTAAGCTCTTGTTAAGCTCAAAGTGTTTATTAAGCAAAATCCCAAAAGTTGCAGCCAGGCCATGTTTACTCTCAAAGAGCATCTTAGAAGATTCACGATTTTCGGGTTTCAGTTGGGCTTGGATCGTAAAAATATGAGGCCTACCACGTCGTCATTTTTAACTTGTGGGTACGCGCGAGCGTAGACACGAGTTATTGCAGGGACAAGACTATGCAAATGAGTCACTCACTCACTCGTAGTCGACGGACCTCTTAATTAATCGGCTCCGAACTCGACAGTGCGAAGATCTATCGTTTCCGAAGAAGCAAGCGCCCGCCGAAGTTCTTTGGGATCAAAGTCCTCGCTGACGCTGCTAAGGCTGTTTTCTTTGTGGCAAATTTTCTACAGCACGGTTGGAGGTCTTACCGAATTTAAGACACGCAGGAGTCTTTCAAATTAGTACAATGGTTGACTTGGGGATTGGACGAGGAGAAGAGCATTTGCTCTTCGAATCCCCAAGATCACTGGGAGGATACAAATTCCAGCTGGCTGGAAAGTGAGAAAATGTCATGCTATGCTATTCTTTGAGAACCTGTATGAACCGAAAACGGATCGGCGGTTCCATGGAAAAGGCGGTAAACTGAAGACTTTTCACCGCCGTTATGTAATCATCCTTGGTAGCGTAGTAGCGGTGAGGAGGAGTCGCTCTGAGCCAAAGATGTGGGGTTCAACTCCTCTCTAGACACTCTTCTGTCGTTATTTGTTTGTTTGTTTGTTTTTTTTTGGTTTCTTATCTTTCTTTTCCCTTTTGAATCTGGTAAAGCGGAACGAAGATAGTATATTTTATGGATCAACCATTTGAATACAATTTACTGTGGGAAAACCAGAGTTGATAACCACTTGACCCATTTTCTAAACAACTTACCCACGGGTTGACGATAGTCTTCCTTTGATTGTTATATATTACAGTTAAGATATATGGGTCATTGACCAAGCGTGAGGACAAAACGGTTGTATATTGATCAAGTTCTTTAGTTTTCAGTGCTCATAATAAGCGTCTGCCAAAAATCGTGCTTGGAGAGAAACAAATACTCAGTAGCGTACTTCTAGTGTGCTAAAGATTGTTAATTAAAAACATTTCAGGAGCACTACTTGTTGCAGGATAGTTTAGAAATCGATGGAGTTAGGACAGGAGGATGACGAAAATTTTGGCTCAAGCCTGGCCGTTATCATGCATGGCAACGTGGCTGCTCAAGTCATTGAAAACCGTGGCACCGAACACGACTCTACTCGACTCGTGCCTGATGTGAGCAACAGAAATCCTTCCAATCTAAACTCTTTCTTAGAGAAGGTATGCCTTTGTATCGGAGCCCTGTGCTTGTTCATATTATAAAGATGTAGCCTGGGAATAAGTTAGCCTGATGTCTGGCCAGCTGAGGGTGATTTTGGGTCGAAAAACTTCGAGTTCGGGTTTAGGAAAAATACCAATACTAATATCTCACCGCAAATTTGCACTAACGCGATGATTTTTGACCCAGAGAGGCATCCTGTTCTATCCAAAGAACTACCAAATCCGGTAATTTCTAAGATTCTAAGATATGTAACGTCATACTTCTTTACTCCATTGATGCCCTCATGTGGACTGCCGAATGACACAGATTTGCATAGGTTTACGAACTAGTCTAATCCTTGAACTCGTCTGAACACAACCAAAACCAAACTAGCTGGTTTTTTGCTGGAAAAATTCGCCTTGACTCATGCGGTCATTGCCTTTGTTCGATTAACTGTGACATTTAGACTAGAGCAAAGCGGAAGTTTTGAAATTGGACTCCAGACTTGACACAGTCTAAACACCTTCCTGTAGTTAAGAATTTATTTTTAAGTAGCTGTATATGAAATGGAGAAATACTCTGAAAGCCGTTGTTTATATTTAATGGTCATTAATGCTCTACTTTTCTGTAAGCTCCTGAGAAGTGGGTAGACAGGGTTGTTAAGAGGACCGCATGCAAATTATCAGCTGAAAACCACTTCCGACAGGAGTGTGCTCAATGGTCCTTACTCACCGGGCTTACTAATTTCCAAGGATTCTAAAAGACGTCTTTCATACCATTCTGTACTAGTGCACAAGATTCTAGACCTGTCCTAGAAATAGATTAGAGCTGATGCCTTGAACAAAAACAACCCAAAGTTCTTTTCCTTCTATTACGTTCTGGTGATGGCTTTCAAAAACAAAGGTAATTTACGTCAGTTGCGATAGTGAATATTCGCCCTAATTATAAACGGCTAACCAACCAATCACTCAAGCGGCCTTAAAAATTTAAATTACCTTTAAAAAAAATAGCACTTTCTTTACTAACTAATAACACTGAATACTCCGGAAAATTGACAACAAGCTTTGATTAACCGGCTTGCGGTAGAAATTTTCTATCGATTAACGGGTAACATCTAACCTCGCTCGAATCCCGGCCAGGGATTAAGGCTTAAGGCTTTCTTTTCGCAACTGCATAATTAGCGTATTTACATTGTGCACCTGTGATGACCTGCGATGATCTTCTCTGCAGTTATTTCTTCATCGCGCGGCTCAAATATATGAAATTTATATCTTCATCATTTCAGAGACTATTATTGTGCATGCGATTCTGATTATTATGATGATGATGATAATCATAATGTAATTTTCCTATCCCAAAGCTTTGTGCTCTGAAATATTTCATCAAAATTTCCAAGCAGTTTTTGTATTATTGTTTAATTATCAAGTTAAAATTTTTTTACCAGGGAAGGGACAGAGAAGTTGCATGATTTGCATTACTTGGAGGCCATCCACTCCTCCCTCCTCCTCCCTTTACGGGGTTCGCATACCAGTCTTGAAAAGTCCTTGAATTTTAGGGGGAGTCCTTGAAAAGTCCTTGAATTCCATTTTTCCTTGAAAAGTCTTTAAATTTCTGTGCAAATCCTTGAAATGTCCTTGAATTTTCTTCAGCTCCGAAAGTAGTGGCCTGAAAAGTGTTTTTTTTTCAATGCTTTTTGGTTATCCAAGACAAGATACAAATTCTAGCTCAGAGAAGTTAAAGATTTTATAGAAAAATGTAAAGGAGTTAGTGGAGGAAACAGTTCAAGCCTTAAAGTTCTGTGAGGATGGACTGTGAATATGCACTTTTGTACAACCTGTGAAATTACATTACTATAGGTGGTCCTTGAAAAGTTCTTAAAAAATGGTTGCAATTGTTTGTATGAGTCCTCATTTAGCTGAGTCAGTCTGATCTTGGGGTCTGTTCACTAAGTAATCATAACTTCTCAAAACGCAACTTACAAATAAACTGGAAACTTGTCTTCTTATTGTATTGTAGCTCGAGTTTACTGATGTGATTGGTGAACCTCACGGTTTTCGTTCCCACGACTGTGTTTACAGCTACGCCTTTCGGACGTATAACTGGGCCAAAAAATGCTGCTATTTATTCCTGTCGCTCCTGTGTGGGGGTCCCCTGGCGCTCTGTTGCGGTTGTTACTTTGCTTGTCTTGGTTTTGAGTACATCTGGTGTATAACTCCGTGCACAAGGGCGCTGCGAATGCATATAGAGTTCGTAGGGGAGATATTTGGCTACTTCATCAAGGAGTTCTGCAATCCTTGCTTTGAGTCGATTGGAAAGATTTTCTCAGGAATTAAAGTTAAAGACGTCACCGAAACGGTTTGAAAACCTTAAATCTCGTTCGACCTGTTACTATGTGGGATGGTAAAAACAGTATCACTTGACTGTAAGTAAAGCTAGGTGCGTGGACACTAAGTTTTTGTCTTGACAGTTATTTAAATATATTAAGCTTTACAAAGCTCCTGAAAATTTAATATCTTTGATACGGTTTACTTTAATACAGTTCCCTAGGAGCTACGCTCTGTCTAACTTTATTTCTGGTTATACTTTACGTCCAAGCATAAGTACCTACATAACAATGTAGGTACCGGCAGAACACGGTGCTGTGGTCACACCTTAGGTACTTCATACGTAACTGTGAACATATTTGCTCCAATTCGCCGTGTCAGACGCCTTTTTAAACAAGGGAGAATGAGGCAAAACAGAAGATTGACCCAGAGCTAATTAAACAGAAAATATGTGCATTGACAGAGACCAAGTGAATGAATGAATATCGCCCTTTATTGCGGGAGCCAAGAGGAGCCCGCAGCCTGAATCTTGACTTGGTCAGCGGCACTTTATTAACTGTATAGCGAGATTTTTCTCGATCTGTTCTCATTCTTGAGATATTTGAATGGTCGGCTTTTTTCACGGTGTTGCGTTGACGCTGCGTATCGCTGCATGCGTTGGATTTGTATGGGGAAAACACCTATCGCTTCTGTAACATACGAAAACGAAAGGATTTGAATGTAAAAAAAAAAAAAAACAGCTTACCTTACATAAATTGTGTGTTACTTCTCTCCTATGTGGTCCATGGGCCGATTTATGGCCGTTTTATGGGGTTCCTAGACATGGTGGAGTTGTGCCGGCCGGTTCTCCAAATATTAAGCCTGACAAAATTCTTTTTCCTACACCCATTTTTAGAGGCCTGTTTCAAACGTCGTGCTACCGCCGTGCTAAGCTGGCTCGATTACAGCACGACACTAGTACCACTTTGTTTCAGACGTCGAATTTAATTCAGCCGAATAGAACGGCTGTCACCGAAAACAAAACACAAAAATAAAGAAACAGTTTAGCAAACTGTGAAATGTATTCCAATGAATTTATGATTTATGAATTGAGTTCGGCACGGCCGTAGCACGACGTTTGAAGCGGGCCTAACATCCACGAAAGGGGTGACAAACGCGAGATTAATCCAAACGCGATGTTTGCATAGGTGTAAATCATGTTATCATAATCATCGCTTAGAATAAAACGTTGGATGATTTATTTCGGTTATTACTCATTTATAGGTGAGTAATCCTTCCCCCTAAATACCTGTACAGCTTTTTTGCATCGCGAAATACCCCTGTATTGATCTTCTCTGTCTGAGTTCTTCATTTTCTCATATCCCCAAGGCTTTATTTGAAATGGAATAGTGGCATCTATAAGAATTTTACTCTCCCTACTATGTTTTTTATCCGGAGCTTCTTACTGGTTTAAAACTATAAATTGAGCTCTCTTCAAATTCCTCCTTTTTATAAAATTCAGAGTTTCATTTCCAGTTGCCTTGAGTAGCGGTATAAACTTCCTTGCCCGTGCAGTGTGCTTTCCTTCTCCACATGACGACGACAGTTGGGGAGAATAGACTGCGTGACCAGTTTAAGGAATGTTTGTGTGAGAGGCAAGGATCTGGGACTACGGTGTTATGCTATTCCGCTTTCCGTTTCTCTCAGTTTTACCCTCATAAAGTTGTTTTTATATACCCAGTCCGCAGTCCGTGTTTTATACTGACCGCTAATTTAGTGCCCGAGTACAAGGTTTCGACCTTGTACTCGGGCACCGGCACCATGCTTGAATTTGGGTGTGTTCAAATAAGCGTCCACCGAGTACCTTACTCAGCCACATTGCCTGGGAACAAAGGAACCCGAGGGGGAGACTCCGCATATGAAAGTGGTGGGGATGCTCGTCGTCTCTCTTAGGGGTGTAAATTACGGTTTTTGGTCTCATTTAGGGTGTTCTGGGCAAAACGCCATCATATTTAGCCGTGGAGGTCTCGTTTAGGGTTGCACGCGAAAAAATATAAAAATATATATTTGATATGTGTATTTTTAATTCGTTTTATTTACTCCATTCATATAATCCAAGTTTTCTCATTTGTCTGTCTTTTAACATGGTCTCTCTCAGGGATCAAAAAAAGCTTGGGCCACGCCCTGATCGGTCTCCTTTAGGGGTTTAATTCAAAATTTCCGACGAGCATCTCCACCCCTTTCATATGCAGAGTCCCCCCCCCCCCCCCCGAGTAAAGGAAGAACAGGAGACATGCTATTACGGGTTGCTCGAGATGATCGAGAGAAACTCTAGCTTCTCGAGTGCTTAGACAACCTCCAAAGTGCATCCACCAGTTAAACAACGTACAGCCGTGGCATTTATTTTTAGCACGGGAGAATTGGCCACCACGACTTGTCCCAGGCTCCTGCTCGTTCCCAGTCGCCAATTATGATTTGTATAGAGCGGTCAAGGAACGGCCGGGGGAGGCCACCGTATTACGGCATCTCAGCGAAGGGGACGATTGGAAGGAGAGAGGAAAAAGGAAGAGTAGTGTCCTCTTTCCCCTCTTTCCTAAAACGTCTCCCTCTGCGCGCACCTCTCAAGCGCATCCCCAACAACAAACAAACAAACAACTGTTTGAGACTCTAATGACAGCAATAAAACTAGAATGGGATTCGCACTCTCGCGGGATTTATTTTATTTAGGTTTTTTGGAAGCCGCAGCCGAGTTTCGGTTAAGTTTGGCGTTTCGGTCCATGTTAGATAGGATTTCGTGACGTTTTGACCAAACCCAACGTTGCTTAGCCTGTGAACAGCAGACGCATTTCCGGTCGTCGCTTCTCTCCAGGGAGAGAAGCGACGACCGGAAATGCGTCTGCTGTTCGCAGGCTAAGCGTTCCTCAGAAAGACTATAAGCCGCGTCGTTCAATACAATACTGCTGAGTGTATTATAGATGAAACATTTTTTTAGTAATATAAAACGACAGTATCGACCGTTTTATAACTCAAACTAACTCAAATATAACATGCTCGCTGCGATCGATCAACTGAGCGGAAGTCGAGGGGATCATTTCAGTCATTTTGTAAGACGCCGCTGACATATCGATGACTCATCCGGTTTAGGTCGATGTTATCTAGTGCTTTCAGTGAGAACATGGTTTGGATTTCATTTAAGAGAATGTATGAGAAGTAGCTCCCCCCTGGATTTGTCCGCTGTTACTGTATCTACCTGCTACCTTATCAGAAAAGAGGTAATCTAATCTAATCTGTCTAGCTAAAGAGTGAGTTGTCATGTCATGGCAAACACGCAATGGTGCTTTCCAACGCTGCCTTTGCTATTTTGGATTATAAAATACTAGGAGCTCCTTTACGAGTGTAGCTAAATGTCGTGGGTCGCGGGTGTGGGTGTGAGTCGTGGATATGGGTAAAAGTCGTGGGTAAAAAAAGTTCCTAAAAAAAAAAGTGAAAATGAAAAAATTAAATAGCGAAGAGTTGTAAAATTCATAAGACGAAAGTCTCTACGTACATACCAGGAGTCCCCTTCCCTCGGTCAGCAAAGGAAATAAGAGAATCCTTTAGTACAAACGGACACTGAAAAGGCGTTTAGGCGAAAAATAAAAGAAACTCTGTACACTACGTTAACCCTGAAGCAGGCTATAGAAAATGGAGACTGAACTGCTGTTACTCCAAGATGTGAACATTCGTGGCTGAAACATCCTGTCAGTAAGGAATGATAATCAGAATCGTTACAGCAAAGATTTTGTATACGAAACAAAACAAAAAAAGAATCGAGAAAATCATATTTCCGTAAGGCAATAAAATTTACATACAGTCTCGCCTTTCAGACGCCGTACTTTTCATGTGCCGAACCTAACTGAATAAGTTCGACTTTGGAGCGACAATGGCGCGACATCTGATTCAGACGGCGTACCGTGTGTCGGACCTAAGTTAAGTTCGACAAAAGTTCGACAGACTCTGTCGAACTTAACGCTTTTTCCGCACCAAACTAAAACTGCCGTACCAAATTGATTCAGACGCCGCTCTTTTGCCGTACTTAATAAGTCAGTTAGGTTCGGCACATGAGTGGAGCGGCGTCTGAACCGGGCCTAAGAGAGCTAAAACTTCTTTAAGAAAGGCTTCTTTCCAAAATGTGAAATGGCTCAAAATTGTCCTTTTTCCCCTCACTTCCCCTCCCCTTTCGCACGCTGATCGCATTCCATCGTGTTAAAAAAAAACCGCTGATCATTGGAATTGTAGATCGAATTAAGCAGTTATTTCGATTCAGCTAGTCTGAGCTGTCCCATACTTTCTGCAAATTGTACGTTTCGACATATTTTACATCTTTTATTTCGCGGCGATCGCTCAGGTATGGATAAATTTTCATCGGCAGCATATCTCTAAAGCAGTGATGTCGTGAAAGGGGAAGTCCCACGTGGCTAAGGAAATATCTGGAAGTGGCGAAGAAGAAACCGTGAAAAGGGCAATCAAGGAGTCGGAGATTTTCGTTTCATAACTTTACTTTATCATTTTTTTTCTATACTTTGTTTACCCACGACATTCACCCACACCCACGGCCCACGACCTCTACCCCTACCAACGACCCACCACATTTAGCTACACTCTCTTACTCACGGTTCTTACTCGTATGTCAGTAGTCAGCTACCTTGGGTGCCAGAGACTTTTCTAGCTCGGTTTCCAGTTTCTGGCAAGTCTTTATAGTGAGCCGACCCGACACATCTTCGGCCGTTCGGCCAACACCGAAAATTCCTGCAGCACGCGAGAAAAACCTCTGGTACCCAGGGTAGTACTCAGTCACACTTAGGACAAGATCTTCCTATATTTTTTAAGCCACCGCTATAGTATTAATGTTTTAATGCAAAAAATGGCCCAACACACAAACTAAAGCCTCCTAGGATGGCAAGAACGACAAAGGTTTCCAACTGCACGAAACTGAAACCGCGAAACAGGAAGTTCTAAATCTTTCTTCCAATAACAGAAAAACGAAATGCAAATTCCGTTTTTCACTGCTATCAGAAT